CCAGCTGGTGGCGCCATTAGGCCTTACCAGAATAGGAAGTACCCATTTCCTAATCTGGCGATCCAAAGAAGGCCTCTGGCTTGTCCATGCACAGACGCCACAGTCGCTGTTCCCGCTCGTTATCTGCTACCCGAGTATCTACTAAAATACCCTGAATATGCTCCTGTTCTATTCGCTCCCTTTGAAGGACAAGCTTCCAAACTTCTTCGCTATGCCTCGCCGATCACGAGGCTCCGCTTCACCGCGCCTTGGCTATACCAAAACTCCCAAAGTCTCGCTATCACTCCTTTCGGAGGTCATGTATCGATATCCTGAATTGGAGCCGTTATGGGAGCTTCTGAGAAGCCTCGTTTGTCCCCATTTCTCGGCCCAACCAGACCGTGGGGCAACGTTGACGCCTGTTCCATAAAGAATTGCCTCCGTGACTCCAGCACCGCTCCTGTATAGCCCAACCCGCCCACTGGTTTGGATTAATCTCACTGAACGGAAGGTGGAAGTATCATCTGTGGACTCTTCCGTCAGCACTGTCGGCACTCGATGCAGGTATGAAGGCGCCCAAGTTTATGTTCATCAATAAAACTGCCGGCTCGGATTCACTGTCCCACAGCCACAAGAGCGAGAGAATAAAGATCCACAGCCATGTCCAGAAGGGACGGCGGTACAAGAAGTTCGAAGACGCCATAATGTACTCTGGACAGCTACCGCACACTCGGCCTGAACACCAAGGCAAAGGACCGGAGAATTGTCAAGATGAATCCAACTATGGCGATGACTATCTTGGGGAGTCTTCGACACACCATACATCGGACCAAATACATTGTCCGTCAGAATCTCTGATTCACCTTGACGGTGATCAGTGTCTACAGCCGCGATCTCCAAATATCGACCCGTTGCTCTGGGACGATTCACAGCCACACCCCACGCCGTCAGGGTCGCCTGGCTCAATACCGGTGTTCCCTGCTTCAGCAGAGGAAAATTTTGATCCTTTCAAGGTGACCTGTGTCAGGGTCGACGAAGGCATCTACAGCCTGCTACACTATTTTCTCCGGGTGTGGCACCCGAATGTGTGGCATCTGGAGAGAAGTGGCCGGTTCGATCACGAATACGCGTTTCGGCACGACGCCATGAGTTTGGTCCAAGGATGCCTCCATGACAAGTACAACATGTACGCCCTGCTTGCCTACATGGCAAGTTACATGCACGATATCGAGGGGATAACTCCGCCGGGAGACGGCACTTTTTATATGCACCAGGCACTGCGGGCTTCTCAGAATTATGTCAAGAGTCGGCAACCGATTACGGGGCGGCTGATCTTCAATATCTTTGCGCTGGGGTGTGCCGAGTGGTACAGGTACAATCGCGAGGCCGGATACGTGCATCTCAAGGCGGCCAAGTCTATCATTGACCTGATCGGCGGCCTCAAGTGCCAGGAGGGTCCGCTCGTGGATCTTTTGTTGACTGGCGATGCCTATGTGGCCGGGGAGCTACAGCAGAAGCCTCTGTGGTCTGATTCCGATTTTGACAACGGCGACGACCACCCCATGACCGCCTACGGTCTCCAAGAGCTTCAGAAGCTACTCTCGGGCACCGTCGCCATGGGGTGCGGCCTTCTCAGCTCGGCGCAGCAGGGGATAATCCCTGCGTCCCTGCGGTGGATAGTTCTCGATCTTGCAGTGGTGGTCTCCGTCTTCGAGTCCTCACAATCCGCTGCTCCTGGGGGCGAGCATCAATCCTTTGACGGTCGTGAGGTGTTCCATTGGGTGAGCATGCGCAGCTTCGCCATCAGACATCGGCTTCTACATCTCGAACTGGACGATGGGCGAAGTGAAGCCATTCGCACGGCGCTTGTGCTGTGGATGTTTCTGTGCTTTACCGTGACTGGGCGAGTCCGGACGGCCAAAGTCATGGCACCCTTCCTGCAGGATCGACTGTGCTCCATCCCGGAGGCAGAGTGGAACGGCCACCAAGAAGTCCTCGCATGGGTTCTGAGCATCGGTGCCATGTCTTCTCAGGTCGGGTCGGAGACTCACACGTGGTTTGTGGCTCAAGGCAGCTCTCTGCCTGTCTGTCTTCGCGGAGCTGACGACGCCGACGGGATCTTTGCCGCTCTCGTCGCCCTCTCCCAGAGGTTCTTCTACCTGGAGTCGGCGCAGCAGAGTTATCTGCGAGCTTTGGCTGACGATATCCACGATATGCGCGCGGCAACAGCAGGAGAGGAATCGAACGTCGAGTGAGTGCCGAGTTGGGTGTGTTTTATATTCTAACCGCAGCATTGGGGTAACCTGGACCGCTATACATATTATATATCACCATTCTTCAGAACAGATACGCAAGAGATCTATTTTTTCTTTTTTAGGATACAGACGATCTCCCTTTTCTGATACCGGGAATCCCATCTCTTGTGATCTGCCAGGAGGGACAATATTCGTTCGTGTCGTCGTTGTTGCGGTTGTTGTGAGTTGGGGTACTTGGAAACATGTCTCTCGTATATGTACACCGCCTAGCAGCGGGGAATGCCGAAATCTTCAAAAAGTCCCATCGTGTTTGTGCCCCTCCATCGAGACTGCTGCTGATTCAGCACACGTATGATCCGTCACCCATCCATCATTGACTGGCATGGACACATGGGCTAATATGGGCGTCATCGAATATGGACCACGGAAATCTTAAACCCCGCGCTGGGGACTGTTGTTAAGTCCGTAACTGCCGGTGTCTGTATGGGAGGATGGATCGATGCATGGACGAGGGATGACAAATATGGCCGAGGAGATAGGTAGATAAGTCAGGGTAGATTAGTCGGTGGTGGGTAGGTGGTAGAATTGCAGTACGGGATGATTGGGAGAACGGATCGGGGGGGTAGGAGGACATGCAATGTTAGATATAAGAGATAGATATATACCTTAGGTACTCAGGCTTGTCAGGTTGTATGTACTAGTCAAGCTGGTGTAGCCCCAAATACCCCAAGACCTCCTCCCACCACCACCTCCTCGTCCCTCATTCACCAATTGTTTAAACGCCTTGACTGCGCATACACACATCCTGTCCCTGCCTCCGCTGTCCTTCACATACATACACACCCATGGCGACCCCCAAATACGCCAATAAGCTCGCCAACACCACCGTCCTGATCATCGGAGGCACATCCGGGCTCGGCTTCGGTCTGGCAGAGGCCCTTTTGGAGCACAACGTCGCCCACCTCTACCTCTCCTCGTCGCGGCAGCAGAGGGTCGACTCAGCCGTGTCACGCCTTCAGTCTGCGTACCCAGACTCCAAAGCCACCGTCACGGGCCTGGCGTGCAATCTTGGCGACGAGTCCACGCTAGAAGCCAACATCAAGAACCTGTTCCCAAAGATCGGCCGCAAAATCGACCATGTGGTCTTCTCGGCTGGTGACCCGCTCGCGGCCAAACCCCTCGCAGAAGTCGACTTGCCCTTCATGAAGCAAGCTGGCATGGTCCGATTCTTTGCGCCCTTTTTCGTTGCAAAGGAGGCCATCCCTTACCTCAACCCAGGCCCGGCGAGCTCCATCACCTTGACCACGGGCTCGGTATCGGAGAAACCGCTGCCCAATTGGGCCGTGGTGGCATCCTACGCCAGTGGCCTGCACGGCATGACCCGCGGTCTTGCTCTCGAGCTAAAACCCGTGCGTGTCAACTTGATCTCGCCCGGTGTCGTGGACACGGAGCTTTGGGAAACCAGTCTGGGCGACAAAGCCAAAGTCAAGGCCGCGCTAGAGCGTTCGAAAGCCCATGTCGCCACAGGCGAGGTTGGCCAGGTCGAGGATGTAGTGGAGTCGTTCCTATACGTGCTGAAGGACAAGAACGTCACGGGCACGTGTATCAGGACAGATGGCGGTGTCTTCCTCCTATGAGAGGTTCGTAGGAGAGGCGTGTCGAGGTGCTGTCGAGGTACTGTTGGACACGCTTGGCAAGAGAAGAGCCCACCAGGGGAAGGGTTACTATCCATAAGACCCAGACATACCAGAACATACCAGTATCACGCAAACAGCGCGAGAGTTTGAATCGTGACTCTCTTCTCTATTTTGTCCAAGTAGCCATGGAACTCCAACAAGTGACCGGTCAGCGGGCCACACAGTCGTCTACAAAGCTGCAAGGCTGTGTTATCTGCAATGTATGATGGAGGGCGGAATAGGGGTTATCAGCCTGATGGGGGCAGGGCTTACAGTACCCGACCTTGTACAGTAATTGCTGACTTTCCGACCTATAATACCTCCAGTATCTAATATTTGTCTCGTGCCCTACTGGTCTGATTGGTGGGTATCGAATGCCTATCCGATTTTGGTCCCAGTCATCTTCCTTACAAGGTTACTCGAGCCAGGGAAACCGCATCAAGGTGTCAAGGATATAACGACCGGACTCAAGGACGATATAGCCTTCTGTGGTTTGGAGGGTGATATGGTATTGTTGGGCAACAAGCAGATATCCCCTATCTCAGTAATGGACTCATCCCATGTAACTCCTTGTCACCGAACCTCGGTTCTGAGCAGAGGCTGGAATGGATGTGTTGGGCCAAGGGCGCGATCGAGTAGGAGGGGATGCAGAGTTTGGGGGCGCAGGTCGGGACAAGAGGACAGACAAGATGGCTGATAGTATTCAGTGAGGCAAGCCCATGGACCAAGCAAGGTGATCAGCAGGACTGCCAAAGGAGACAGTGGTTGTTTATGGGATCAAGAAGGTGATACCAGGTTTAAAGCCAAGTGAACCTGCGGCGTCGAGGTGCCAAGCATCTCCAAGTCCGGCGTGTTCGATTCAACCAGCCAGAGGCCCCCTTTAACTAGAGAATCCAGCCGGAGAAAGAGATGGGAGCGCCTGCTGTCCACTGGCTTAGGCTTCACTAGCCCCCCAACACCACCTATGGAGCCCAAGACGAGAAAAGTTTTACCTAAGTTCAGCTGCTATCAGATTGCCTAGGCTGCGTGATGACCATATCCACCAGTATAAATGGAGAGATTCTATCCCCCAAGTGCGTCTCCCCCCGCCATGTCACCCTTGGATAACGCAGTTACACTTAGATACTTGTACAGTAAAGTACTAGTAAGCCAAAAAGTTGATGACAACAGTACCACCAGTTTCGCCTCAAAAACACCATGAATCCCGCCATGCTGCTCATCAGCACTATCATCACCGCCGCCATCACCATCCCTACCGCCCTCTTCTTCACCAACAAATTTGGCAACCTGGCTAACCCTGGTGCCCCGGTCGCCTACACCTGAATACATACACACACACACACACACACACTCTCTCTCTCTCTCTCTTTCTCCCTGCAGCTCGGGGCCGTCTCACCGAGCCTTATCAGAAAAACACCCCCTTCCACGAGTCGATATCCATATCTGCCGCCATGACTGAACACCTTGCAGACACACCTTCAGTGCTTGCCACCCACACCACCGATCCCAGCCAACAAGAAATCTCGCACCCGCCAAAGTCTTACACATATTATCACGCCGGTCCACTATTCACCATTGCCGAACTCCACACTAATGCTCTCCTCGCTCAGGCCATCCAAAAGTGCTCCTCGGGGAAGTTCATCCCCGTCTTACCCCAGGATCTCGAACAGCGTGACCAGAGCCCCCATTCCATCAGGGACGAGGACATCCGGGCTCTGCTTTCCTGCGACACGGCCATGTTTACTTACGACGGTACCGAGTTAGATGCCGGCACGGTGGTCGAGTACATGGTCGCCAAAATGGCCGATATCCCCGCTGTCGTGCTCCGGACGGACTTTCGCGGTGCGGGCGACCAGGCAGAGACGGGCGACGCGTGGAACCTGATGAGCTCCAACTGGCCACGGACCGTGGGTGTGAGTGCGCACGCCATGGTGGGCTACAAGACGAGCCTCCAAAGGGCGCAAGCTGGAGTGGAAGGCACACGAGGGAAGACGGTTGGTGAGTCCATGATTGACGACGTCGCCCAGAAGGTGGTGGATGCTTTTGAGAAGGTGCTGAACGAGCCCCCGAGATTGCCAAAGGAGCTGAGAGAGTGTGTGTATCAGTGGTTGGCCTTGATGCCTGGGTTTAAGAAAGGGAGTGATCAGGATAATGTCGAGCTGCTCGCGAAACTGTGCAAGGACAAGCAATCTAGAGGCTTGTTGTAGAGACATAGAAATAGAATCATCATTAAAATCAACCCGACCAGTTTACCTTCCAGTTCGTTTCCAGATGGAAGATGAGGGTATAGTAGAGCAAAACGCTTTGTTGGACACTTTTCCCTGCCTGCCTTTTATTGTACCAAGTGACGCCGTTTCCCTAGGCAAGTATGTCGATATTGATCCTACAACCATTGTTTTACTATAAGTACAATGAACCCTCCCGAAGTTGACTCAGACTTGAGCAGCATGGTAGTACATCTAGTTGTCTTGCTGGACTTTAATGATTGGGTCGAAAGACAAGGCAGCGATAACACCAATATTCCTCCCCGAGTTCCTATACATATACTCACACTAACTCCCTAATCCATCACGGACGCCTCATTCATCTGATCCATTCCAGCGAGATATCCGAGCCAGCTTCCGGCCCGCCATTCTCCTGGATCCGCCACAACGGCGAGCTCTTGCTCCATCGCCGCATGGCCCAGGCGATGACGGTGAACGAGGTGAGAAATCCGATGCCGGCAGCCGTGGCCCAAAACACCGTCACATCATACGCCTTGCGGTAGAAGAGGGAACCCTCAAAGTCCATGTAGCCGCCAAACGCAGAGCTGCCGAACGTGCTCGACTTGCACAGACACCCGTTCAGCAAGCCGAGCACCTGGGACAGTGTGATGACGAACAGTGACAAGACCGCCAGCAAGTTGGGTAACAGCATGAGCAGTTGAAGCCAGCGCCATGGCTCTTGGATGGCCAGCAGTACGAGCCATGATAGCGAGCTCAGGATGTACCATATCGAGTAGAGCCCGGAGCGGCACCCCAGCCCTATCGTTGGTGTATTGAACGACACCATAAATGCCATGCCAAAACTGACTGAAAAGACAAGCGTCAGTATTTTGTCACGTAGCTAGAGGGATAAGTTGTGCAGGATAAGGTACAAAAGCCGTAGACGAGATTGGGCATTGCTCATCATGTGTCCTGACCCAGACACTGCATCCAGAAAAGGAACGACTTACCGCCCACAATCACCTCGCTGCACACCCATATGATGAACCACGAGTACGGCCGTTTTGTCAGCTCGGCTTCGAAACCGGCCGGGTCGTCAAGATTGAGGCTATCGAGGTCGTCACCCGCGTGTTCGTATTGCATAAGCGCAGCATTGGCGACGCCGCAGTATCTCAGATAGCGTCCCTGACCAACAAAATGCCCGATACCATATCGACGTCGCACTCCAGGTTGTCTGAGTTCGAGAGCTCTACTCCATAGGACTAGCTCGTTGGCTTCTGCTTCTTGCTGTGCTTCCCCGTGCTGTGCTTCCCCATTCTGTCCCGGCAATGGTGGCTGGGCGGCACCAGAGCCTTCCGCTTGGGGAGGTTGTGTGGCCGCATTAGCTGCGTCTCTGATGAGCCCTTGCCGCCTTTGTGCCTCAACGACCTGTTCAACGTTGTACAACCATCGTTCGATGAGCTCCTGGCACCGACTCGAGTTCGTGGGGTTTCGATCAATGATTGCCATCACCACCAACGAGGGGATCCACGACAGTAGAAGTCCGAGCGCGAGCGAGTGTGCGGTGGTATTGTCACCAAGGTCGGCAAAAGCCACCGCGACCGAGATGATCAAGGAGACGCCGAACCATAAGATGTTGAGCGCGAGAGGCCACACGCCCTTCCTACGGTTGAGGCGCAGGTGGTACGCAAGAGTGGCGTTGAGCTCTGCGAGTCGTGCTTGGAGCTCTTGTTGGTCGGCATGTGGTCCGTGCGCAGACAATTTGAGCTGCCGGAAGACTCCCTGCAATAGTGCTCTGTTGCGATTTCTCACTGTAGATGCAGGTTCTTCTTCTGAATTACTGGAACCATCCACCGGCTTGGGATGCGTTCCCCTCATCACCAATTTCTTCAGCCGTCGAAGTCGGTCTGGCAGGCTCTGGTTCTCTAGACGACCAACGGGCCGCGGGGCAGGCAACATTCCAGGATATTGGTACTGGTTGATACAGCTCAAGATATACATGGCGTCGTCCATTCGGGCGGTCGGCGGCGACGCTCTGGCTACTTCGTGGCATTTCTTGATCATGTATATGTTGAAGATGGTTGTGGTCAAGCTTGCAGACGGAGCGCCGATCCAGTTCAGCAATGCCTCGAGATTCCTTCTTTTGCGAATATTGAGCGACTCCCAGGGCAGCTGGGCAATCAGGCTAACACTAGGCAGAATCCATGTCGTCAGAATCTGGAAGACGGTGAAAGCATCCCACAGATCTGGACCCGAGCCACACGCAGCAATGCAGCCATCGACGGTCAGGGCTAGTGTCTCGTTTCGATACGACGGATCGATGCCACGAAGCGGGCCGTGGTAAACAATATCGAAATGATAGGTGCTACATTGAGAAACGTGTATGATCAGCTTACGAATCCCCAAATATCTTGGGATAGAGGATGTGGGAGACTTACCTTTCGATAGTGCCTCTGTCTATATCGACAAGCACTTTGGCTTTACATTGGTCAAAGTCTGCCGCATGCGCTTTTGTCGTAAGGCTGACGATAAGTAGAAGTGCAAGCAAGGTATGCTTCAACAGGGTAACACAGAAGTAGAAAGCCATGGCAAAAGTGATCACAGAGACTTCATTGAATCAGCCGACATGCCAAACGGAAGGGGTGAGATGACCATTTATGGACAAACAACCCTACAATGGAAAACGGAGTTGTGGGTTGCGGCGACGCAATATTGATTCCGGTTCAACATGACACGAACAGAACTATGGCTCCAAGCCATCGAACAAGGGGGGTACATGACGAACCATCAGGCTGAGACGTATGAATCAGGAATGTCTGCTTGCTGGTCGAATCACAACGGCCGCCCGATGCGGCTGTGCTTTATGGATCCCCTGATTGAGAGTTGACTTGCTCACCGGGGATGGATACCCCTTGCAAACTGTACCGAGTCCCTCGTACCGAGAACTGATGGTCGGCCTTTGCCCCGAACCTTTGTGGGATGGAAACACAGGAAGTAGATCTGATCTGGATCAGGAGGCTCTGCAGCACCATTTGACCAACGGAGTTCGGACATCCACATCCATGTTACCGCATTGCCGTGATAAGTCAAGCCCTTCCAAGCTTCTTGAAGCCTTCTCGTACTTACCAGGTTCATCCTGCACCAATAGAAATGGGTCAACTGGTGTTTCATTTGCCCAGGCCAGTCATTTGCCACAGCCACCACAGCCAAGCACTTCTGGCATTGCAATATTTGCTAGAGGACACCAGTCTGGCCAGAACTGGTGGCACACAATGTCCGATGGCGGCAACATCATGAAGTGAATACGAGGAGAAGATGCAGGAGGCTCAATTGACACGTTGGCTATTGGCTAGTTCTGGAGCTGTAGAAAGGGGGGACCAGGAAACGGAATTCCAAGGCTTCAGGGGTTGATAAGGGATGGACGCCTCGACGTGTACCTCGTACAATTTAAGGCTGCGTGCCTGCTAAGGCAATAAGCCAAACACAAATCCTATTGGACAAAACCCACGTGACTCTGGACGCAGCTCAATTTCACGTGACTGTATTATCAATATCGACCAGCCTTGCCAGCCTCGTCTAGAATGATTCGCACTTCATCTATCAATAAGCAGTCTTGCAGCGGTGCGATCCTAATGAACCAAACCTATCCCTAAGCTGTACACTACGATACCAATCTTCGTGACCCGATTCCTCGGCGTGTGCAAAAGTTCGAGCGATCAGGTGCTTGCGCATCTGACAAACTGCGACCCAAGAAGTGCCCTGAAGCGAAACCTGCTTACCTCTTTAGAAACCCCAAATCGTTCCACGAGCCATGTAACTAGCTTTCTCTGTTAAACATTGTCTCTAAGACGCACAACTGTGTTCGAAATGCTATACAAAATTGTATTGGCGTACACTATCGTCACCTTCCTTCGCTTCCAATCCCTGGTTGTCGCTACTGAGAATTCACAGACTCTACTGAGCCCAGATTCAAGTCCTCCGCACCGGATAGCAATCATCGGCGCAGGCCCCGGTGGCTCCTCTGCATCCTATCACCTTCACAAATTCTCCCAGCAGCTCTACCCGCCACCTGAAAATACTCCGATACATATCACCGTTTTCGACTCTAACCCCTACATCGGTGGCCGGACTACCACGGTCAATGCCCTAAATGACTCCCGCTACCCGGTCGAACTCGGAGCAAGCATATTTGTTAAGATAAACCATATTTTATACAATGCTACGCGAGACTTTGGGTTAACTTCTGCCGTCAAGATATACGAATCTGCACCTGATTCAAAGTACGAATTGGGCATTTGGGATGGGAAAGACTTCGTTTTCAAGGCAGAGAGAGATGATGATGAGGACAGGGGATCATGGAGAGGATGGTGGGACATTGCCAAACTTCTCTGGAAATATGGACTCGCACCCATACGGACGCGGCAGGCGACCAAGAAAGCCGTCGGTGAATTCTTGAAGTTTTACGACGAACCAATATTTCCATTTCGTTCGATAGCAGAGGCTGTGGGAGCTACAGGACTGGGTGCATATACCGGCTTGACAGGGAAGGAGGTTTTGCAGAATGCCAAGGTGGGCGATCTGTTTTCTCGTGAGATCATCCAGGCAAGCACACGGGTGAACTACGCGAGCAACCTGGGCGGCATCCACGGATTGGAAACATTGGTATGCATGGCCATTGAGGGAGCAATGGCCGTCGAGGACGGCAATTGGCAGATCTTTAATGAAATGGTGAGAAGTACGGCAGATGAGATCTTCTTGAATACAACAATTACTGCTGTCAACAAGGATGAAAAGAAAGGGACATTCCAGCTCGAGATTGCTGATGACGAAATCAATGGACCGCGTACGAAGGAATACAGCCACGAGTACGACACGGTCATCCTCGCAGCTCCATATCAATTTTCCAATATCACCTTTACACCACCGCCTCTCAACACGCCGGAGAGAATTCCCTACGTTTCGCTATACGTGACCTTGCTCACCTCTCCCCGTCGCCTTTCCCCGTCATTCTTCGGACTCGAATCTCACGCGGACGTTCCTTCATCCGTCCTCACAACACTCTCTCCGGAATTGTCAGACGAGCTGGGTTCGCATCGGGGCGTCGATGCCGTTGGGCCGGCCGGATTCTGGTCGATAAGCACGCTCCGGGTTCTACATCCAGAGACAGACGGGAGCTTTTGCGGACCGACATCAAACTGCACGCAGCTGCCTGTCGAATCCGGAGAGGTCGGAGCCGAACGCGACACACAGTATCTGTACAAAATATTCTCACCGGCACCCTTGACGGGGACGTTCCTTTCGTCGTTGCTCGGCTTCCCATACACTCCGGAGCCTGAAAACAAACACGACGATCCTCTCGCCAAGCTCCCTAAGTCTGAGATCACTTGGCTCCACGAGAAACACTGGCACAGCTACCCTTACGAGACGCCTCGGACGACGTTTGATAACTTCACCCTGTGCTCCACTGAGTCGTGCTCCTCACGGGGCACCTCGGACGGAGTCTACTACCTCTCCGGCATGGAATCCTTCATCTCGACCATGGAGACTTCTGCTCTTGCAGGAATGAATATCGCCCGCATCGTGGTCCAGAATCTGCTTGAAGAACGTGGTCAGAGTTGAGTTCTGTGCGCCAACCCGGTAGAGCGGAAGAAAAAAAAACACACATAGCGTCCACCCTTCGGTGTGGTCTTCAGAAGAAAGAAAGCCAGATACAGATGACCTCCGTGCACAGTCTTATTCATGATGCCCATCCTCCCTCCCTATATATACATACATAGACGTTACAAATTCAATCTATCCACGTACCTGCCTAGATCATCTGTTGTCGCAAGAATCGAGGGTGTGTTTTGTGAGAAATGGAACCTAGGGCAAGACTCACTTGCCGACACCTTGCGACACTCAGGGTCACATCGATGTGGTCAAGTCCCGCCGAAGGTACGTCATATAACCCAGATAGCAGGATGAGGGAAACCAATGAGGAAACCGGGGTGATGTTATGTAGATGGACGAAGAGCAGTGTACGGAGTAGACAGAACAGACTTGAGACTTGAAGAAACCGAAGCAATTGACTGGTTCGAAAGACGTGAGATCGGAAAGGTTCAATCCATTATTTTTCTAGGGGAAAGCAGTAATATGCAGCAACTGGATCCTCTAAGCGGACTTCAATTTCAAACGTCCCAGATCCTGCTTCGTATCCTTTTTTATGACCAAAATCCGAGGTGCTCGCCGCTCGCCGCTCGCCGTGCGCGTCGAGACGCGGCGCCGTAATCAAGTCCCGAACATCCTGGACGCCAGGCGCCATCATTCACTCATTCACTGGTTAATCAACATGAAATTTGTAGCGGAGAATGCTCCTGTTCTGCAACGTCATATGAGACGATCCATGGACATTGCCCAGTGTTGTAATGCACTCATCTCGCTTTTTCGTCTCAATGTGCATTCATTCACCCGAGACACTGCGGTAATGCTGTACCCAGATGATCCATAGTCCTGAAAAGGGAAGTCAAAGTCGAACAAAGCTTGAACGCCGAGGGTATCATTAGTATTACCAACCATGCTGCAGACAAAGAGGGAAATCAGGATGACAGCTCTTCCTGCACTCTGACAATCATCACGAAAGCAATAAGATCCACTCCCCTCCAGCACCAATAGCGCATCTCTCTTCAAGCTTGGGATGTCGCTCCCTGAGTTACAGGTTGGGAGTCGGCCGAAGGGGTCAACGTCGACGGCTCAATAGTCTCTCCCTCCTTGTCCATTGGAGGCACCGAGGGTTCACCTTGTACTGATTGGACTTGCGGTGCAGTCTTTACGCCTCCTGAGGAAGCAGTATGAGAAGGACCTGGCGTAGTGGTCACAGGTGAAGCAACGTGTGGCGTGCCGTTTCGAGTGCCTGCATTGACCGAGCTAGCTGGCGCGGGCGAGCCAGTGCGGGAGAATCCTGCGAAATTGGGATTCTTGAAACGCCGGATGAAATTTTGAATGTGCCCCATGATCGTCTCTTCTTCGATGGTATGGCCGCCGGGCATCAGAGACTCTGGGTGGCCATGCAATAATCTTCGCGTAGCCGAGGCAAATATCTTCTGCCAGTGCTCGACTCTTGCGGGAGAGACTTGTTCGAGCATGGCACTCTCGAACTTCTTGATGGTTATGAGACCATCGAGGGTGCAAGGCATGTTTCGGGATGCTGAAGAGCTAGTGAGGACGGGTGGGACTGCCGTAGGAGTTGGTGTTGCGATTGCACTTGGGGAAGGATGAGGTCCCTGGCTTGTGGGATGCATGGGTGGCGCAGGACCCGATTGCAAAGCTCCAGGTTGTGATGGGAAGGGTGGCTGTCCTGGTTGCGACGGCGGATAGAAAGGGCGGTTCTGACCTGCAGAATATGTTGTGGCCGACGGTGGTACCCCTCCTGGTGGAGGTGGCCACGGCATCCCGTTTGAAGGCGGCGGCATGGATCCGTGTGGACCTTGTCCGTAGAAAGGCGGAGCATGTCCTTGAGGAGGCATCCCGTTCTGTTGAGGATATGATGTGCTGTTCTGCCAATTCAGCATTTGAGGAGGACCTTGCGGTACATTTTGACGTGGCGCTGGTGCAGGTTTTGGTTTGGAGGCGGCTGCTTGCTGGGCTGCCCGCCTCCTCTCCGCTTGAGGCTGTAGAGCTCCTGGGATTGCTTTCCACGCAAAGCCTTTGCCTTCCTTCTCGCCCTTCTCGAAGAGCTTGTTCCATTCTTGATTCAGGTTGTGACGGACGCTGCTCTGCCACCCTTCGGAGTCCACTCTATGCACAAAGAATGGGAATTTCAACTTCAAGGCACGGTAGATCTGCTTCAGAGGAAGAGCTTTGGGGTGGATATCAAGCAGGATGTCGTAGATCAGTCGAGCATAGGGTTCAGATGGCCTGGCCAGCTGTTCTTCTGTCAAGCTTTCTGCAGGGGGATAATCTGGACTCGGGGATTTCGACCTGGCTTTCTTGACTGGTGGTGGTTTCTCGGGTTCGCTAGGCAGATCGGCCTCACCACCCTCGATTGATTGAATGATATCGCCGTCTTCTCCAATCCGCTTTCGTTTCTTGTATTTCCTCTTCTCCGGCTTGGATTCGATTGCAATTTCTTCCTCTTTTGTGATTGGCCTGGGAGGCTTCGGGCCTCGCATTATTGGTGGCGGGGTCTTCCCTCCGTTTGCGGCCTTTGCTTCTGCAAGCTTAGCTGCCTTTTCTCGTTCTTTTCTTTCTCGAGTCGACATGATTCCATCCTTCGGCGGTCTCCCAGGTCCTCGCCTTTTCGGAGGCAGAGGCTGGCCATCAGGTCCTAGAATAGGTTCCGCAATCACTGCTGGTGGCTTCTCTATGGTATTCAGGATAATCTTTGTCTTGCCCCTGCCGGCCTTTGCGGGCGACACGCTCCTGTCTTGTTCAATCGAAATTGGGGAAATGCTCCGTGGTCGCGAAGGGGTCCGATCAGCCTCTTCGTGGCCTGACGCATCGCTCGGCGACTCGGATTCTTGCTTTGGCAGTTTGAAGGTCATCCAGACATTCGATATCTGTATTTTTGAACCGTCACGGAGAGGCCGTATCTGACCGCGCGGAAGATACACATCGTCCAAGAAAGCGCCATTTCTACCCATGACTTTCATCTGAAAGCGCTCCTTGTCGAAATCCCATTGAATCTTGACATGTCGCCGTGAAATACTCTTGTGGTTTTCCAGCTCAGACTTTTGGTGGTTTCGCATCGCATGAATGGGAATGAGCGGACAGTTGTGGGCGTCTGGGATATGGTCAGCCGTTACTGGCGCCGGTTGTTCATTGTCTAGATCCGGGTCGATGCCCTGCTCCAGTTGTGCTTGACGTTCTGCCATCTTGTGGTAGTCGAAAGGAGCAAGAGGGGGATTGTAGAGAACTTCCTGAGGTTTGACGACACTACCAGCAGACCTTTCGGACGAGTGCGAGTGTAAGGGGTGTCCATCCTCTCCTTTTTCATTGTCCATACCCAGACCGTCGTCGACACCACCAAAACCGCCGGCTTCACTGACGACACTCCCTTGGACTTGACTATCACCAGGTCGGGCTATCCCTTCGGAGAGACCAGACCGTCTGCCGCTCGAGCTCTGGGCACGGTCTTGCTCGGCCTGACGCGCTTCTTCGGCTTTTGCAAGGGCAGCCCTGTACGCAAAAGCATCCCTGCCTAGTTCACATGCATAGGTGGTGATGTAGTAGTTCCCATCTTCAAACTCAATCTTTGCAAAGGCTTCGATTTCCCTTCGTTCCGGGAGGGGGATTTGAGAGGTAGCAGGTGGTAGAGGGTCGTTCGCGTAGGTTGTCAATAGACCATCCGGTCCCATTGGGAGCGGTAAGGGTTGTGTGAACGCATCCATCGAGAGCGTAGGAGCCAGGGGAGGAAGGTCGCTGGCAGTGAGAAAGTCGTCGGGATGCTGTAGCGGGAGAGGAGGGAGCAGGCTAGCAGGGTCTGTCTCTAGTTTGACGTTGCTTGTTTCCGTCGCCGTGACCGTGGCCGTCGCTTCAGTAGAGGCATCGAGACCCTGGTCGGGCAAAGGTTCCATGTCCGTGCTGGCGGGCGCAGTTGCGGTCTGGCTTTGGGATTGTGCCTGACCGACGGGGGTCAGAGCCGCGAGCAGGTTGCCTACAGCGTGATTCCGTGTTTGAGCATCTAGATCGTCCCAAGCAGGGTGGCTCGTTATGGGAGGGCTGCTGTGCTGTGGTTCTTGTTCATCGTGATGGTCGGGGTCGCTGTCGTTCTCATGGAGATCCGATGTAGCGGTCCATGATGGGAGATCTGGCAGACCTCTTGACGACGTCGCAATGGCATGCGACGACATTACGAGGTCTGCAAGATCCTGGAAAGTAAGCTCGAGTCCGTCAGGTTTGCTGTCGAAGGGTCGGCGCAATCTCCAAACGATCAAAAGTTCTCATGGGAAAAGTAAAAGTCGAAGAGAGGCGGGCGGGAGGCGGACAGCGCAGTCCCGCGCCAGCCAATCACAGGCCGTACAAGGCAGGGAATTTCTCTCTCGACATCTTGCGGGACTCGGTCCTTTACGATGAGGAGCCAGACAATCTCGCCGACTTGTGGCCTTGTTTCGCCTTGTGCCCGACAGTCATTTCGGCCCTGTAGTGAGATGGGCGAACCTTTGGTCCCGCCAACTTTGACGGAACACCATCTTACTGGGCCTACATAACTGACCAAATACTGAGGATCTGTCACTCCAGCCAACTACATTCGGAGACACGAGTAATACTCGTAGTGCTCATCCCCGTATGGCTCCGCGAAGCAAACAGAAGGCTGCTCCTCCATCCAAGGGCGACAATGTTCAGCCAACAAAGCCCCATCTGCCAGATTGGCCTCCTCTAGCACCTCTCGTTCCTCAGGAGCACCTATTTATCGAGACAGTCGTCCCTGGCCAGATCTTGGTCATCCGAAACCTGTTCACGTCCAGTCTATGCAGAAACTACGTGGCTTTCCTCTCTTCCTTACCCTTGACTACGACACCGGGCAAACCGAAGCGAGGGGAGGCGACCCGAGTCAATGATCGATTCCAGGTTGAAGACCCGAAATTTGCCAAGATGCTGTGGGATTGCACCGGGATGCAGTATCTAGTCAGGTCCTTCGAAGATCAGGCTGTCTTAGGAGGCACGGTGCTCGGGCTGAATCCGAATATAAGAGTGTATCGGTATCGGCCGGGTCAATTCTTCGACAAGCATTATGATGAGAGCAATAAATTACAGTTTGGCGAGCAAAAGCTACCTGCCAAAACTACCTGGACCCTCCTCATCTATCTTACAACATGCGAAGGTGGTGAGACTGCGTTCTATCCAGAACCCCTGAAAAAGGGCGACAGACCTCCTGAGCCGATTGTGGTCGGACTTGAGACTGGGATGGCCCTCCTCCACAAGCACGGCGATGACTGCCTGCTGCATGAAGGCAAAGAGGTCAAGAAGGGCGAGAAATGGGTATTGAGGAGTGATGTCGTGGTGCAGAGGTAGAGTCGAAAGACCAACCAAGCATGCTTGGAAAATCTGATAGTTGTAATCGTCCCGAGCTGCTGATGCTGGAAGCATGTATCGCATATCGAGGCGGGGGACATGATGCTATCGCTTTAAATGCTCTGCATCTGTCTCGGTTGTGCCTTCTCGGGCTTCGGAAAGCATGCTGTCGATGCCCTTGTCCTTGAGGGCTTTCTGCAAATGGTCAGGAATCCGCATAACTAGTGCGAGACCGGGAAGCCCACATACGGTCAGACAACTCTTATACTGCTTGAACAATTGCTCGCATTCGTCAGTGGACGAGTTCCCTCGAATGTATTCTGAAGCACAGACAGATCAGCAGCTGGCAAAAAAAAAAAAAAAAAAATAGGGGAGGCAACAGCCGGGAGGAAAAGGCCTCGTACTCTCAGAATACCACTTCAGAAAGCAGCTGTCATATCTCCTAGCTGCGGATTAGTATCTTGTCGCAAATGCTGGAGATATCCTCCAAAGCTTACTCTTTGACCTCGTTGCATTCAGGCGCGAGCGATGCCGACATATTGAGGCTCAGTCCGTGGCTTGCGGATGGGTAGAGGCAAATGAGAACATGCAACTCGGGCCTGACGCAAGGCTCTTTCTTTGGCGATGCTAGAAGGCCGAAGCCATCGGAATAAACTTTTTCCGTGTAGATCTTCTAGTGACCCACTGGCCGTCACTGATTGGTTCTACTTTTCTACTGCGTACTGTATTCACATGTAAAGTTTACTACTAGGTACCTCCATTACTCGAGAACGAAAGACCTAATTGCCATATTCGGTTTGATCTTAGTGAGTGATCCAATGGCGCTTTGACCTGTGCTATACGTGAGCCTTTGGCCGAGCATCACCGAGCGCTTCGTGAGCGCCCCCTGAGCATCCCACCGAGTGCCTAACCGGGCCCCTCGTAATCGGCTACACCTGCATCTCAACGGTGCATCTGTCTCAGACGGGGCTCAGGGGACCTGGCAGATCGCCTGCCCTTACACTGCTCCTAAACCTCGCAACCTTGGGCTCCGATTTGGGCTCTCATGTAGAGAAGAGGTAAATGAGAGATCCTATTCTGGTCCCCCTTGCTTCCACCTGTGTTCCCCCCGTATTGTAAATTACTCATCAAGTCTGAGCTACTAGGCCTAGAGAGCCCTCCTGAAAGGTCCTTTTCAATGAGAGACTGGCAAGCTACAACCTACTCCTGGACATTCCACACGGACGACAAAGAGCCATAAAAGGAGATTTCAAGCCCATCAATGACGCCCGCAAGCTCAGTGGGGACACGGATCGCCATCGCAGCATGCGGGCTTTCGGTCTATTCGCAGGTGCAGCTTGGGGCGCCGTTCACTGTGTATTGAAGGAGGGTAGAGTTGCGGTGGAATACTTTTTGTGGAGAGAAGGAAGCGTATGACAACGATTGCCCAGTCCAGGCGGCAGGGGTCTAACTAAAATATGTCTGATTGGTGTTATGGCCTGCTTGGATGGCACGATGGCCATGCGAATACTCTCTTTGGCTCGTTGAGCACCTACTATCCTCTGGATCTCTGGTCTGTGACCCAATCTTACAGCCTCAATGACTTGAAAAGGACTCATTCAGGTCCTTATAATCCTTCTGGGTGCGTTGGGAGGTCTCCATAACTGTCACTTTCATCCGTGGAGCAGCTCATTCTCCATCGCAGTCGGTCTTCATGCAACAGCCGGTGCAAACAGTCTCGTTTGTCAAGATACATTTGGTCTTCTCAAAGTCGAAGACGGTACCGTTTGGGCAGCTCTGCATGATAGGGCCGAAGGTGGTGCACATGTAGAACTTTGTGCAATTGAAGGGGAAGGGCATCATTTCACCAAGCTCACAGGTGCCGGTCGGTCGGGGGGGAAAGTCGCACACCACCGATGACGAAGACGAAGAGGCGACGGGGGTTGCTGGTGGGACAGGTTGCTCGACCAAGGTCAGTGGGTTCGAGTCGAGAGCTTTTTGAAGGGCCTCGCCAAATCGGGAAGGATTGGCTATGGCAGATGAGGTGAACAACACCAGGACAAGTGGAAGTGGTACGGTCAACTTGAAGAATTGCATCTTTTCTCGAGGAGGTTGAGGTCGAAGCTCTAAAGCTGCTGTGAAAGACTTGGAAAGCACGAGAGAGAAGAGGGTAAGGTTCTCGAGCAATAGGCAAGATCAGTTCCAGTAGCACGTTAAAGATTCAAGATGCTCGACCCCTAAAGAAGCGCCACCGGTTATTTCTTTCTCTCCCTTTATAGCTGTGGCTCAACTCGAGAGCTCTGACGAAAATGCTAGCTCAAGGCGAGAAACTCTGTCAGGAACCAAAGTTTGCCCTGTGCGATGTGCGATAAGCGACCATCTAGGCGAATTGTTATCAACAAAATCAGAGGTTATTGACGTTTCTCTTTCCTTGGAAGCGATAAGGAAGCTCTCCCAAGGGGCAGAAAAGGTAATTGGGCGCTGGTTTCGTCGGTCTGGTAGAGGACAGATGGAGAAGCTCTCTGGAAAGGAATAGCGAATCGATATCTGAAGTGCCTGGAGCTTGGCGTGCGAAAGTCTATTGGAGCTCCTGCCAATAGGGCCTGGAGTTGAAGCACCCCTGGGGACTTGCTCCCGAAAAGCAAGTGCTTAGCGAGCCCGGAAGAACAAAGCCGAGGGAGGCGACGCTGCGGAGGGCACCGATCTCTCCTCTATCGTACAATATCGGCCGCCCCCGTTCGTGTTTCCAGGGCAAATCTATCCGATGTGTGGATGTGAAGGATGTGTGTTGTCGAAAAGAAAGGTGAAAGGTTGAGAATCTTGCTTCAATTTGCATTTCCTGATGTAAATCTGCAGTGACCTAAATCTCGAGTTGCGGTAGTCGGCCCCAGCGTATATGGAATCTTGGGGTCCGCGCCTCTCTCCTGTTGTACCTGGGCAAGTCGAATATTTTTCGCATTAGCCGCTTCATGTAATGGCGTAGCGAGTCCAAGACCTTTGAGCTGGACAAAAGATCGCTCGTGGCTCTCCTACCTCCGGGCATTGATCATGGCGCCCTTTTCCAGAAACAGGGTCACCCATGGTGACGATGTGTCACGAACCACTAAGCACACTGCGCACGTGACAACCCCTTATTATTTAAGCACCGCATGCTCGTCGCCTGAGGGAAGCTTCCTTTTCCTTCCCTCATGCTTTGAGTCTTAGTTAAGATATACTATCAAGGAATACCTATACCTACCTGCTATCTATCGCTACCCTCTGCTTACTTACATAGGCCGGTCCGAACAGCAATCTTGTTATCACCTAGGGGGTCGTGGGCTGTGCGAAAGAACCCTCTCTCCTCTTATTCCATCTCTCACGAATACACTTTCTTTCCCCTTTTGTTGTAGTCCTTGTTGTACATCCCAAACGTCACTTCTCCATCGGAAGCCCTGAGTCCGCCCACTCCACACTCTGATGGGCTCATCGCTTTCAGTCCATGTATGCTCTCCGTCAACCTCGGCAAGATTTTGAGCGCATTATTCCTGCCCATATCCACATAATCATGTTGGTTGACTACTGGACCCACGTGCTCGTCCCACCAGCAGCATCCATTCGGGATAGACTCGAAAGGGTAGTCAATCGAGAAGCAAATACTTCGGGCCCCGATCTCAGTCATGGCGCAGATCAGCGCAGGTGTGCTGAAGTGGCCAGAGGTTGTGATGAAGACCTGTGTGCCAAAGTAATCGCGTACAAGCCGGTCCTTTCGCATTGGCATATTGGGAAAACGACTGCGGTCCAGCTTGTGGTCGATGCGGTAGAGGTCGTATGGACTGCACAAAGAGTGGTTAATGGTTCAGCTCCTCAGCCTGTCATGAAGGGTAGGCTTGTAATTGACGACAACAACTTACATGTGTTCACCCATGTGTCCGATTATAATCCTCAGATCCGGGAAGCGATCAAGAACGCCACCAGTGATGATGCCGAGAGTGTGCATATTCAGTCGATTCGCGTAGCCCAAGGCCGAGAAGTCTAGCCACGGCCTTCCTTTCCACATCATTTCCCTGATCAGAGGGCTGGACGTTCGGGGGTGGAGATACACAGGTGCTTTCAGTTCATTCGCGACCTTCCAGAACTCGTCATACATTGGGTCGTCGTAGAAAAGCATCGTATTCCCATCTGCTCCAGTACTCTGGTAGTCGTTGAGCATCGCACCCACGAAGCCCTTCTTCTCTGTCATGCATCTACGCAGTTCTCGTCCGGCTTGTGCAGGATCATGCATGCTCAGAGCGGCAAAGGCTGCGAAACGTTTGGGGTTCTTCAGAACTTCGGCTTCAATCTTGTCGTTGGCGACTTCTGCCAACTTCTCAGCGGCGGCTGGGTCGGTAATATTTTGGACACCTGGAGCATTGAGGGACAGCACCATGAATTCGACGTCATTCTCGTCCATCTCCCGAAGACGTTTTCCATGGACGTCGCCCAAGTTTGCATTCAGATCATCCCCAATAACACCTTTCCCAGCAAACTGGCTGGGGTTGAAGCTCTGGAAGGATTCTGGAATGGTCCAGCACTCTTCCAGGGCGATCTTGCCTTTCATTCTGAGTAACCAGTAAGCGAGAACTATTGGGAACAATGAGAAGGGTGCTCCGGCCTTGGTTATCGGGACAGGGGCGTAATCCTAGGATTTTATACCAACTGTCCAACAGCTCCAGTCTGGGCGTGAGAGGAAACGATGTGCCATTTGTTCGGCAGTCCAAGTCGGCAGCTACAACCACACAGTTAGATGCATCCAATAGCCAATGACTTGTATGGTGCACAGGACCTCAATATGGAACGGCATGAAGCTTTGACGTGGAGATGGCTGGCAAAGTGCGGAGTAGATGACCGCCAACAGGAGTTGCTCCAGAAGCCACTTCGGGGAGTTAAGGACTCTCCCCGACACTTCTGCTGTTGCTTGTCGAATCCAGCACAGTAGCTGTGAAATGGGTCCCGGAGCCAATGCCAAATAAAATGGGACTGCTGCGATCTATTTGCCCTGTAATCGCTTGGTCCCAGGCCAAGCACAGGAACTTCGTTGGTACGTATTGTCCCGGGCGTCTCAAGTTGATCGGCCGCAATGGGATCCCAGGATCTTCCGTTCAGAGTAGCTATTGTCGGCGGTGGTATTGGAGGCTTGTGTGCTGCTCTATCACTGCATCACCACTGTGCTGGTGAAGGCATCAAAATTGATGTCTATGAGCAAGCACCACAGTATAAAGAAATTGGTGCTGGTATCGGCATTGGTGTCAATGCAGCAAGATTGCTTCATTCTATCGGCATTGGGGATGCCGTGAACCGCATTGCTGGCAACCGACAGGGTATCTGGATATCTTTTCGTCGGTATGATACTGGAGCAGACATCGTGACAGTACCGGTCAATGACCGTGAGAAAATTCGCCAATGCCCGGTCCATCGTGCAGAATTCTTGGATCTCCTAGTTGACACGATTAAAGCTCGAGAAGCTGCGACCTTGCATACCAACAAGTCTTGTATCAGTGTTACCGTGAGTGCCCTTTACTTCCATCTACGAATCTTGTGTCTGTTCTGACTGCAGCTTCTCAGGACGAAGGCGAGACCGTCACCTTGAATTTTCGGGATGGCAGCACTTCCACAGTTGATTTGGTTGTTGGCTGTGACGGAATCCATTCAAACCTTCGAGCACAATTCAGCTCAGATAATCCTCGTTATGGGGGAAGAATCGCATATCGGGGCCTGGTCCCAATCAGCAAGCTCGAATCGAATTGGCCATTTCCAACCTATTCCGTCAGCTGGTTGGGGAATGATAAACATTTCTTGGTGTTTCCAATCAGTAACAACAGGCTTTTGAACATTGTCGCCTTTGTCGCAATGGAAGAAGAGAAGCTGGGCGGACTAAAGGAGAGCTGGACCGCCACTGGGGAGAAGAATGATCTGGCAAAGGACTTTGAGGACTTTGATCAAACTGTCCGAGAGGTGATCTCTCATATGCCTGAGCATCCCTCAAAATGGGTCTTGAATGACAGGGAACCTTTGCCGCAGTGGGTATTTGCTCGGGGTAAGGTTGTCCTCATGGGTGATGCCGCTCACGCTGTAAGTTTTCAACCCCTCTGCCGCAAAGATTGCCGGCTTGCTAACAGCGGTGCAGATGCTTCCTCATCAAGGTAGGATTCTCGTTACTCGACATCAGTAGAATGCAGAGACTAAACATGACCGCAGGCGCAGGAGCAGGGCAAGCCATCGAAGATGGGTACATTCTCGGTCGAGCACTGCGAGACTATCTCAGCTCTCGCAGTCACAAGGGCGAGGGTCTTGAAAGATGGATGCAGTTGTATCAGAATGTCCGTCTTCCGCGGGCGCAGAGAGCTCAAGCCACAGCAAGACAAGCAGGTCAAGTATATGAGATGCAGACGGAGGAGATGCTGGGGAAGTCGTATGAGGAGTGTCTGCCAATCGTACGCGATAGCTTGAAGGACCGAATGAAATGGGTATGGACTGAGGATATTGACCTGGGATACAATAAGGTGAGGACGGAGATGGGAGAGGAGGAAGTAGAGGTGATGAATGCAGCTACCGAGAGGTGCTAGGCGTGTCCCTTGTACTGTAGCAGTGTAGGTAGCGTTGTAGGTCACAGATATAGAAGGTATAGAAACCTGGCAAGATGCGACGTTCACTTCAGCATATCCCAGAATGTGTTTCAAATGACCGTCTGACAAAAGATGTCTGGCTTCCATCTAGGCGCTTCATGACGCTCGCTCCCTCTGGTCTCTCACCCTCACCCTCTCTCTCTCTCTCTTACTCTTGCTGTACATATACCTCAATCATTTACTAGAGTGCCTCTTTATCTGGTGATGCTACAGTACTATCCAAAGTTCAAGAACCACAACTCGGGCCTATTCTGAAAATGCTGTGATGGACTAGAGCCACCCATCCCATCCAACATCCCCCCGAGATCCATCGCCCAGATTCCCCTACTTTGCTTCGGCTAAGTCGTAACTCAATGGAGCCACAGGCCCCTCCAAAGAAGCGCAAACGAGTCGCGATTGCGTGCCCCGAGTGTCGATTACGAAAGACAAAGTGTGATCACATTGTGTCCAGACAGGTTGATGATGATATGCTCAAGGGAATACCAAAGAGTTCGCAAGCGTACGTGACTCACTCACACCGATGAAGCACTCGACGGATTAGCTTGTTAACGCCCAATCGACCTCAGCTACATTCGTTCTCTGGAGCAAAGGCTTAGGAAGTTCGAGGAGCAGGAAACACGGGCTCATGGCAAACCAGATGAACCAGCGTCCCTGGCCCACCACTCACGGAGGAGCCAGGCGTATTCTTCTCCACCGCCTCTTGTTCAACAGCGACAATCTATCCTGATATCCGCCAACCCTGAGATATTTATGGGGGGATACTCGGGCATCTCGTTCACCCAGCTGATTCTAAATGCTATGAATGGCGCAGATTCAAACAAGCTGGAGGCACAGTCTCTGTCATCTCCACGCGACCCTCCATGCTTCTCCACGCCCTCGGACCTTTTCGCTCTTCCACCTAATTGTCGCGAGTTGATCGATCTGTTTTTTGACTTTCATTATGAGCTGTCGCCCATATTTCATGCACCTACCCTCCTTGTGAAGATCGACCGACTCATTGCCGGTGACGCAACTTACCGGTCCGAACACAGATACATCCTGGCAATCATGAACATGCTTTTGGCCATAGCCGCTTCCCACCAGCGACACAGGACGGAATCGTCGGCCTCTAGTACAAGGGGTTATTACGACGTAGCAATGGCCCTTGTCGGTCCTACCCTCCTATTTGACTGGAAAATCGAGAAGGTCCAAATCCTTTTGCTAGGTGCCAGGTATCTTCAAAGTTCAAGTTCTCCTTCAGAGTGCTGGAATGTACTTGGTCTGGCGATTAGGATTGCATACGGCCTTGAGCTTCATCGGGCACCCGGAGAGGAGTTCGATTGTATCATGCGAGAAACACGAAAACGCGTGTGGTACGCCTGTTATGGTCTAGACCAGTTGCTGAGTATGATCTATGGTAGACCAGCAGCGACCTCATCTTCAACATTTGATACCCCACTTCCAGAAGATTTGGACGACGATTGTATCCAAAAAAGCAGACTACTTTTCCCCAGTCTTGAGGCTCCGTCGACAATGTCGTTTTCAATCCAAGTGTCCAAGCTGTATCGATTACTTGAGTCTGCCGCGTCCTTTGCCGACCCCCCTCTGGAAACTCTGGTGCAGCTGGATGAAGCCTTTGAGTCGTGGTATGCTGGCGTTCCCCCAAATCTCAAAGTCCGGGGCAATATGACCGTGCAAGACGACAAGTGTCTTATCCTAGCTCTCCGAGCAAATATGGTTAGGATCCTCATTCATCGACAGTCCCTCGCCTCCACACTCAGTCTCCTGTCCAAAACCGAGCAAGCATGGAAACATCCTGAGACTCTCAAAAGCAGTATGCTTCAAAACAGTCGACGAATCTGTGTCCAGACAGCCGAGGAAACGATCGATTTGGTTGGTCTTCGATATGACCAGACTAAACATGCTCTTGGGCCGAGCTGGTTCAACCTCTATTATCGTACGATGCCTCTTCGTTTTGATATCTCTTCTTTGGGCTGACTTTGCGATGCAGTATTCAACGCAATATTAATTGTTGTATCACATGTCGTGGATCCAGAATATCGAAACGACAAAAGAGCACTTTCCCAACTAGACCGTGCAATGCAAATGATCAGGCAGATGTCCACAAACCACCAATGTGCACAACGCGCTTACACTTTCCTCCAGCAACTTCTCAGCTTCATGGACAGGTCCTTGCTCGTTGAGGGACGACGCGGCGTAAGCTCCTCGAGACCACAAACCGGAACTGTCTCATCTCCTCTTCTAGAGGGCTCGACCAACAACGACGGTGGCTATGACGACCTGGTGCACCCGGACCTTTTTGCATTTTGGGACATCACCCAAGATCTGACCACCAACCTAGGGACTCAGCTCGAGTCTTACTCTTCTTTAGGGTGCGGAATGTGGTCATGGGATGTCAACGCTCAACATGACATCGCGCAATGAGTTTCAGGCAACACTGGCACAACATATGACAAGAGTCGAGGTTAGCTTCAAGGTCCTGTCCCACTAGGCATGTTTCCTTGGCCCTCACGATGTGAAGGTACTCTTGTGTTCTCATGAGTCGGCCGGTATCTCTCCGTGCACAGTGGAGTCGCCTGAACAGGTTCACAAGCACCAGCTGCTCCTAGTCGTTTCCGCGGCGGCCTCAGGGGGCTAGCGAGGGCTAGCGAGGCGTCCAGACTTTGAGGCCTCATTGATTGGGCAATGGAGGATTTTGCAAATCTCCCAGGATTCTCCGCGTCTCCACAGTTGATACCCCAGCTTCCCGGGGGTCTATCTTAACTCCCCGACCTCTCACCGGTAAGCAATTCGACACATGTTGGCAGTCCTTATTATTTGTACTCTGAAATGTCTCGGTCCGCAAGCGAAGTGGCTCACTACGGCTTATCTGCCTCACGGCTTCCCGCTCTCATTGCCAACCTCCCAACTTGGATCATCAATATTCGCAATGACTGCGATAGAGAAGCCCCAAGTGGCGACCGTTGAGAGCACGAGCAGCTCAGACATTGTCAAGGACGATGTACGTGCCAATTCAGGGGAGTCTGTCATATATCGTGACAGCCATGGCCTTCCGCTTGTGCCACAGCCCTCAGAAGATCCTTTGGATCCATTGAATGTGCGTGAGTGTCCTCTATTGTCAGCCTTGTATTTGCATTTCAAAGGTACCAAATTGATTGAGGAACCAGATATGCTAACAGGCAACAAACACAGTGGAAACTTTGGGTCAAGTGGGTTGTCCTTGCTGAGATTTCTCTTCTGTCATTCCTGGCACTATTGAGCGCATCATTGATAGTAAGGCATCGTCATTGCAAGATTCTTGCTCACAGCAGTGGAATTAACAATGTGTCCAGACCCCGGCTTTTGTACCTCTCTCGCATTTCCTCCATAGAGGCCTCGTGCAAACAGCCTTCGTGACCAGCACCTTCATTGCATGTGTAGGAGTGTCTACGATCGTGTGGAACCCAATATCTAATGTTTACGGACGACGACCTGTGTACATCATCACCGTTGCGATAAGCATAGCAATGTCTGTGGCATCGGGAAAATCAGAGAATTTCAGACAAATTCTGACATTCCGCGCCCTCAACGGATTCTTCGGGGGCGTTCCGCTAGGACTAGGCAGTGCCACTGTCTGCGATCTGTTCTTTACACACGAAAGAGGGTTCTATATGGGAATATACACTGTCTCGTTCATCCTCGGAGGCCACGTTGCTCCAATCATCGGCGGCTACATTGAGAAGGACTTGACATGGCACTGGTGCTTCTACATCCCGGCGATACTCACAGCGGCTGTCCTCGTCCTATTTACCCTCACCGTGCCAGAAACGCTCTACTCCCGCGCGGCTGAAGCGCTTGCGCGACCTCGACGGACCTGGATGCAAAATATGCTGATGCAAGGCAAGGCTCATCCTATGCGGCGTCTGCGCATCATCGACTTCTTTCGACCGATTCAGATGCTGCAATACCCGAGTGTGCTTCTTCCCACAATTTCCTATGCAGTGTCCTTTGCGTATGGCAGTATCCTCTTCATAATCACCAGTGCAAACCTCTTCGGCAAAATCTACCACTTCAAACCCCAGCAGACTGGACTCTTGCTCGGAGTTCCCATCACGGTTGGGAGCATCATTGGCGAGGTAATGTCAGGCGGCTTCTCCGATTGGGTGAGTGAGAGGAGGGCAATAAGAAGAGGTGGTGAACGAAAGCCCGAAGATAGACTGCTGGCGGTACTTCCCGCCTTCATACTCACACCGATTGGCATCATCATCGAAGGTGTCTGCCTCGAGCGGGAAATACACTGGATCGGCGTGGCATTTGGAATCGCCATCGCCAGTGTTGGGTTACAGATTTCCACCACCGTCGTCTACACGTATACCGCAGAGGTGAGTCAGACAATCTGCTCGGGAACAGAGCTGACCAGTTACATATTGTTCGCTAACTCTATATGCAATTCAGTGCTACAAACCACAATCGCCTGAGATTGGCTCGCTGCTGAACTTTGCGAGACAGATCTTCTCCTTCGCCATGGGCTTCTATGCAATCCCTTGGGCTGAAGAGTCCGGCGTGCTGAACGCGTGGGTCGCAATGGCATTCATTGATGTGGCTTTCTTCCTGCCGCTTCTCCTGTTGTTCTTCAGGGGAGAAGACTGGCGGATGAAGCTAGGAGAACCCAAGTTCCATAGAGATCTGTAATCATGCGCAGCGGGGGAAATGTTGTAGTTTGGATCGGCAATGAATGGCCCCGTTGTCCGAGCTACGCAGCCCGTTGGAACCCTTTGAGATAGCGTGCATCGGTGCTACAAAGTAAATATACTTGCACCGCAATCCACAGGACCTCTTATGACCCTTCAGTCCCTCATTCGTCATGTAACAGCCTCACCAATTCATCAAAGACCACTTTCACCTCACCCACCTCATTAGCCCACAGTCCTCCCCCGGCCGCGTCCAACCCCAGATCCTCGCCCATGGCAGCCCTGACGAGGAATTCCCTTCCAGGACCCGGGAACGCCAATCCGACACTCTTCTGCACGACCTTCATCCGGACGCCGCTGAGGACCTGTTTCAGCTGCCCGGCGCATTGTGTTCCCCCGTGGCCGCCGTACGACACGACCATGGCGGGCTTGCCCACCCACTCGTTGAAGAGGTAGTCAATGGCGTTTTTGAGATTGGCCGGGTAGCCCCAGTTGTACTGGGGTGTGACGAAGACGAATGCCTTGTGGGACGTGATTAATCGGGACCACGCGCGGGTATGTTCTAGCCATTTATCGCGATATTACATATGTCAGCGTATTTTCCAATTTCCTTTGATAGCGCGACAATAACAAGAAAAGGGGCGGAGACTGGATAGTTCTACCGGCGCTGAATTCCACCATCGATGGGGGGAAATACGTAGCCGGCACTTCATATGAGAGTCTTACCGTGGGTGTAGTCCTGTGGGTTCGTGATGCGCTGTGGAATGCCGGGCTCATCGAAGAACGGGAGCGGGTGATCCGCCAAGTCGATCAGCGAGAGTTCAAAAGGCCGCTGAGCATCGGGAAACTCGTGTTGGCTGGCTTGCTGTTGTTGTTGGTGCTGCTTGAGGCTCTGGAAAATGAAGGTCCCGATCTGGTCCCCAATCCGCGGCTGGCGCTGCGAGCAGATGACAACACCGATTTTTGGAGGCGGTAGGGTTTCGCAGAGGAGGTCGTTGGTGCTCGGCGGTGGGGAGGAAGACATTTCGTGTGAATGCCCGAGAATCGATTGGTGCTGCGTGTTCAAGTTCTAGGCTGTGATCCTTGTGATTCTGCCAAGTGTGCTCTTGGAAGTAGACGTGGTATTCCTGTTTCGCCCTGTAAATTTATAATGAAAGAGAACGGTTAGTACATATCAGGCTCCCTGTCGAGTCAACGCGGCCTGAAACAGGCTCGGTTTATGAGGTATCTCGTGCGACATTTTTGCGACATTTTGCTCAGTTTCCCTTCAGCCTTGACCTTGGGTGCCACATATGACGGAAAGGGAAAGTGGATATGGGATGATGTTGCGCAGTGTCCAATCATCATGAGGCTGATGGCAGCGACAGTCTCGGTTCCCGCTTGGGACTCGGCCCCATAAAGCTTGGCACAATTGCCAAGTCTCGGTCTTCGGTCTTACACGAGGCGCCTTGCACGGTGACCACCGAAGCAGCTGGGGCCTGACATTTCTAATGGTTTGAAGCCAACGGGTGGACAGTGTTGGAATATGTTGCGCTGTGACCAATCAGCACCATCTCTCGAGATACGAGGCTGACAATGCTCGGAGGCCCCTTGCTAATGAGGTTGGGACTGTTGACTGAGGAATAATGTGAGCTGTGCACCGAGAAAATGATATAAAAGGACCGGTCTCAACCCTGAACATTATCCAAGGGATACAAGACAGATATAGCACAGCAATAGCCAAAAGTATCAGCAGGCAGCAGATCTCATACAGCAAAGACATCATGAGTCAAAGCAACATCCGGGTCGCAATAGTTGGAGGCGGTCCCGCTGGCCTCACACTGGCACGCCTCCTTCAACTCAACAACCTCCATTGCTCTGTTTTCGAGCTTGACACCGATTCTCTAGGACGAGACCAAGGCGGAACAGTCGACTTACACCCACGAGGAGGACAGCTCGCCCTGGAGCATGCAGGTCTGACGGAAGAATTCAAGAAGCTCTCTCGTCCAGAAGGTGAAGCACTGAAGTTGCTCAAGTACGATGGCACCGTCCTATACGACGAGAATATGATCGGCACCAATCGACCCGAGGAATACGCCAATCGCCCAGAAATCGATCGAACAAAGTTGCGGCAGTTGCTTCTCAACTCACTGAAGCCGGGGACCGTGGTGTGGAATAGAAAGCTGCAATCTGTACAGATGTCGTCTTTGCAGGCCGGAAAATATGACCTCATTTTCCAAGACAGCAGGGAGAAAGGATTCGACCTCGTCGTTGGCGCTGACGGTGCTTGGTCCAAAGTCCGCTCATTTCTCACAGACCAGCAACCATATTACTCGGGCGTTACCGCCATTGAGCTGTGGGCGGAGGATATCGATACAAGACACCAATGGTTGAGCAACTTCGTGGGTGCAGGAAACTGCTTCATGTTCGATGAGGGCCGGGCAATTCAATGCCAGAAACTGGGAAACAACAGCATTCGAGTTTACGCCGGAGTGCGGCAGCCTGAAGAATGGCTTGAGAAATGCGGCATCGATTGGTCTTCGCCGGTAACGGCAAGGCAAAAGCTCGTTGAACAGTATTATGCCGACTGCGGCGACGAGCTGAAGCAAGCCATCTTGGACGCTAACGATAAGCTCATTCCTCGCCGGATGTGGATGCTGCCCGTCGGCTTTCGATGGAGGTGCGACGGAGGAGTGACATTACTAGGAGACGCAGCTCATGTGATGACCCCTTTTGCTGGCGTTGGGGTCAACCTTGCCATGGTTGATTCATTGGACCTTGCAAATGCTATCGTCGGCTGCGGCGGAGACAGGGAAAAGTTGTCAGATGCTATCCAAGCATATGAGGGTGAGATGCTAAGCCGGGCAGAGCAATTCGCGAAGAAGACCTACAAGGGTCTGATAAATCATTTCAGCGCTGATGGGGCTCAGGAAATGGCCATGCGTATGAGAAGAGGATAGGACAATCCCTTGGAATTGTTGACCAATGCTTGGTCTTGATGGATTGATTGAGACCGAGCGCGTGGAGTCAAGTGTATGAGGACGTTGATCAGTGGCTGTAAGATCTTACTTAGCTGCGTACTTCTCGCTGTGTTCGAATTCAGTGTCGAGCCACAGCTGTCGCAACCCAAATTCGAGAGGTTTTGCTGCGACCAAAGACTTGTCTCGAACAAACTGTAAAGCTTGGTACATCATTTTTCTTCGTTTCGCCTGTGCCTGTTGATATCCAAGGACGTCCACCCTGAGGTTACCCCAGTCCGAGTTTAACTGGGCCTGCAATGTGTCTAGTTTTATCATTATGGAATTGGACACGCAGTCAACGACAGCAAGAAGAAGGTCATCCCGCACGGAGCTGTTTCTGATAGTTTCAATCCTGGTTGGGCCCACGGCGTCTGAAATAGAGCGCAGAGGTGCAATTTTGGTGCTATACCACCACTCGAAGGCGTGTTTCATGGATGATATCTGAAGGATTGCGTTCTGGTGCCGTTTTTTGAGCCCAACTGGGTCAACATCTCCGTCCAAGAGTTGGTCTGCCGTGCTTGTGGCTTCCCGAATCAATCCGGGCACGTCGACAAGGAATTCACAAAGCTCAGATCGAAGTGAGATACTAGCCTGCCCCTCGGTGCCGATGGAAGTGGGAGGGCTCTCCAGAGACTGGCGCCACTCTCGCCTTGACAAAAAGCATTCCTGTCCAAGACTTGCATCGTGAAGAATCTTCGGCGGCTTAGTCAACCGCAATCGAGCACGGGGTGTCAGTACAAAGGATATAAGTACTCACAAACCAAGCTCGCTGCGACTCGAGCATCGCCCTTTCGAAGGAGTGAATGAATCGCGCGGCGCCATGTTCTTGGATAAGGAGTTTCGTTCCCATGCAGAGTTGAGTCCATCGTCCAACATCATCGTTCAGCACAAGCTGGAAGGTCAGTTCCTGATGCGGCTAACTCATCGACAATAAAGATCGAAACTTTCTATTCTCACCTCGCATGTCTGCAGAATAATGGACGCACATATCGTTTCGGCCTCTGCGCGTATATGCCGTATGCCCAGCGACTTTCGAAGAGAGTGCAAACTCCGGGCGTACAACTGAAGGCACTTCTTTGAGGGCGTTTGGTCTGATCTGAGAGAGTCCGTGTAGATGCTGCACAGACACGAAACCGCATCGTCCAGTGCAGCACTGCAGCCCAGCCGGGACGGAATCATACCATAAAATCTTCCATGAGATTTGATGGGGAAGGTGTGCCTGTTCTGCGGCTCATCCAGTATGTAGCATAGAGTCGAACGTATCTGGTCAACGGGAAAAGCTAGCGGCCACTCAATGGCATTCCATGATCTCGGATTGAGAGAACCGTTGCCTTGGTCGATGGGATTGACTTTAAAGGTTAACCATTCATCGACTGCTGCTTCGTGCTGACCGACATCTTCAAAGATATACTTCTTTTTGCGGTAGAGCAATGCAAGCGATCCACCCTCGTCAATGAATTTCCATCTTTTGGGATAGCCTGGGCATTTCCAGCCTGCTTTTATGCATGCTGAGCATGAAGGTGTCTCTTCACCGCACTTGACCAACCAAAGTCAGCATAAATATGGGTTTTCTCGCCGGAGTGCTAGACTGTGCCAACCTCACCTTCTTCTTGCGTTTCCGACACGTCGCGCAACCAGTACTTTTAAGCGCTCCCACCATATCCAAGGATGTGAATGGAGATTACAGGGCAATTCATGATCCCTCTTAATGGTTCTTCAGGTTTGCAGTGGCTTTGAATTAGTAATGTAGTCAACAAATGGTGAGTTGACAAGTTGGTACAAGGCTCAGATGGCGCAGTGAGCGCCGAGGCGCCTACATTTTAGGCGGCTAATGATCGACCGTAGATTATTACACTTGGCCCCGTCTAAACTCCGCCGTTGTTTTTAGTGGAGAACCTTCGGTTCATCCCTGCGGTCTTCAATCCTGCAAATTGTCTGAAATCTTTCTGCTCAGATCTCCATTCCTGTTACTACCAGGGGTGGTTAACACAGTGGTCCAACGACCTTGCTACCCACAGCGTAATGGGATTCGGGAGGAGTTGAGACAAGCACCGCTCTATCATGGACCTGACTGCGGACTTCAAGTCCTTTCAGGATCTGGTCCAAGCCTCTCTCATCAACGTAACAAGGAGCGCGACCCAAGTGTCCAACCAAGATCTGGGGTTCCATCGCTCCTCTAGCGACAAGCTGTCTCGCGCCCTTGATCGTCAAGATGCTCATCTTCTGCGCCTGACAAACAAACTCCTCAAGGCTGCCACTCAGGACACGCCACTCAAACAACCTACATTAAAAGATCAGGACAGCGTCGAGGATAACTGGCGTGGCGTTGTTGATGTTGTGGATGGTCTACTTGAGAAAGCTGACTCTGCACTTGATGAGTTCTCGGGCATCATTAAACCACAGGGCACAACCCCCCAGGATGTCGACTCCTCTCCCAGACCTACAAAGACTGGCTTGGGTTTTCAGAGATGGGCTGCAGGCAACATGCAAAAACCTCAAGCCTTCTTTGACAGACAGGTGAACAACTCTGACCCCAGACCCTTCAGGCCATTGCTTAAGACGAAGCCTCATGCTCTCGTTCCGCTGGAAGAAAGCATAGGAAATGAGGATACAGGGTATGGTCCTCACTATCTTTCCGGCGCATTTACTCACTCCACGTCCAGATACAACCACCCGTACGCACGAGAAATCGAGATCTACCGGTACCCCCCTTCCGTCTACAAATTCAAGCAGCCGATACCTTTTGGGCCAATAGATGAAAGCGAGCACGTCTTCGTGGATACGGAAGAAGGCGTCCTAGAGATGCTCGAAGAGCTCAAATCGGCTGAAGAGATCGCAATCGATCTAGAACACAATGACTTACGCTCTTACGTCGGGATGGTCTGTCTTATGCAGATCAGCACACGCAAAAAGGACTGGATTATCGACACATTGAAACCATGGCGTGAGAATCTGCAGATCCTCAACCAGGTGTTCGCAAACCCGAAAATTCTCAAAGTGCTACATGGTTCAAATATGGACGTCATCTGGCTGCAACGCGACTTGGGCCTATACATCGTCGGTCTCTTCGACACCTATCATGCAGCTTGTGCTCTGCAGTTCCAAGGGAAAGGTTTAAAGCACCTTCTTCTCCGGTTCGCAAATGTCCATGCTCAAAAACAGTACCAGCTTGCGGACTGGCGGGTGCGCCCTCTCCCCAAGGACTTGATCGACTATGCGCGCTCCGACACACACTATCTGCTCACCATTTATGATCACATGCGAAATATGCTTGTCAATGGATCGTCACACAATGTCAACCTTACAGACTATGTCCTATCGCAGTCGAAGAAAGAAGCCCTTCAAGTCTATACTCGTCAAATGTATGACCTCGAAACAGGCGGCGGCCCGCTTGGTTGGTTCGGGATGCTCACCCAGAGATTCGTCAGTCTGAGTAAAGAGCAGCTCGGGGTCTTTCGTGCTCTTCACGCGTGGCGAGACCGCAAAGCACGTGAGCTGGACGAAGGTGTTCAATTCATCCTGCCCAATAGGACATTGTGGCTGGTGGCTGAAAACATGCCGACCTCGGTGTTCAATTTCCACCAGAGCTGCAGAGGGGAGTCAAAGCTTGTCTCGGACCGTATCCCTGAGATTATCGAGATTGTCAAGCAAGGCAAGACTGAGGGCAAGGATGGCAAATCGCACGAAGAGGTGGTCCGGCACTGTGAGAAAGTTCTTGGATTGACAGCCCGCCGACCACGAGAGAAAAAGCAGCAACCTCAGAGCACATTTTCTGGTTTGGGCGCTACTTTGAAACATCTAGCGGCCACCTCAACTTCAGCGCCACTGGAGCAAGGTGATTCAGTGGCCACCGCGGAAAGGACGTCTGCGTCGATGTTCTGGGGCGGTGTAATGCCTCAATATCATCAGCTCCCTACAGACATTGCCGCCGCAACTATCGCGCTCTCCTCAATCGCCCCGCTTCGACTGCTTGCCACTATCGAAGAAGCCAACACGGGAGACAGAACTTTCAGCCAGCCCATATTCAAATCAACCCAAGCCGAAATACTGGCAAATACACTTCCATACCTCCCTCCAACACCAAAAGACAGATTCCGCTCCAAAGCCGATGAAATTTTCACGCTCAACGAGTTGTCACGTTCAAAGGGGAAGAAGAGGAAGACAGACGAAGTCAACGAGGATATTCCTACCCCTGATGGGGTGAACAGCACCGCAACAGGGAATACAACAGCTAGAGACACTGTTGCGGTCCCAGCGTCCACCGTTTCGCCTCAGACCTCCCTTGCTCTCGATGCCGACAATAACCCGGAATTCGATGCAAAACGTCAAGCGAAGAAACAGAAAAAGGCCGAGAAGAAGGCTCGGAAAGAGGCCGAAAAAGCTGCAGCTGTGGCCGAATCACAAGCTGTGCAGCCGTTTGATTATGCCAGTGCGCCATCCTTGCTGGTTCCTGGTCCACAAGGACAGCAGGCACCGCAAAAGAAGATCTTGAACCCTTTTGCAAAAGCATTGGATACGAGCACTGGGGCTAGACGAGGGAAGATGGGCAAAGAGCTGCAAGGGAAAAGTATGACTTTCACTTCTTGAGGAAGGCAAATGTTAGCTCTGTTCTAATATCATACTGCCTTTCTATGCCCTGCAACAAGCTCGCACTGTACCAAACAGTGGCATACGTTGAGGACAAAGACTCTAACCTAGTCTGGTGATCTCTCGAGTCTTCAGTATGTCCAACCAAGCAACGTATCGCAAGCCAATATAATCTCATTGAGTTCGACTTCTCAATCAGCCCTCCCGTTCCTGTTCGTCTTGGCTGTTTTTGGGGGGTTTCTTTTTTATGTCCTAGTACACCTTTTTACCGTACCTCGTATGGCGGTGACCTTGTTGTGTCTGACTCTTTTCGTTGTTGTGATCTCAGACGCCGCTTGCACCCCTGAGAAAGCCTAGCCAAGCTCGACACTGTCTGAAGCCCTATTCATACAGGAGAGTATGCTTGACCCTCGTTCCCGTGCGCGTTTTCTTTCGGGGGGGATGACAAACGTGGTAGCTTGGTTTTGGCCCGTTTGGTTCCCGCTCGTGTGTGGCAGACAAGAATATCCGGTGTGGGAAATGTCGCCTGCGACTGTAGGTCTCAAGTGGATGGAAACCAGGTTCGCAAGTGATCATCCCATTCTCCCTGCCCGGCGAGATACAGACGGAGGCTCGTCTGCATTTCATACTCACCTTCGGGGTTGCCTGGAAGAGGCTCGGGTTCGCCGAAAACGCGATGATCTTGACACTTGAACCTAAATTCGACTCCCTTGGGCCCGGTTGTTCCTCTGAAATCAAGACGCAGCGAATTGGGATGCTGACGAATCGCATCGAAGACTGGCTTCAGCGCAAGAGTGCCTCCTCTAGGCCACTCGAAATCCTCGAATGAGAGAAACTGTAGTCGGCCACATTTCCCCAGGATACTTGCCAGTGCCGCAGCAGGAAATATCAGATTCTTCACACACAACCGGCGAAGAGCTGGCAGGTTCATGTCCAAACACGTGTGCCAGGGAAGGCGGATGAATCGGGTGTTCCTATCGGCGTTTTCTATGGTCAAAACCTGGAGGCTGTTCTGCGCCTTTGTCACTAAAGCAGAGAATAGTGAACAGGCACGACTGATAATTACGGGTTGAATGGCCATGTCAGCACCACTGTGCGGGAGATAGGGTTCCTCCTGGAGAGTGAGCTGGGTCATAGAATTCAACTGAAGCTGGGAGTTCCACAAATCCCCCAGTCCCTGGCCACGCATGACGTTGCAGTCAAGCGCGAGGTCTCCAATCCGTACTTGAGCGCCTGCGAGACACTGCGTAACGGCCTTGATGAGCATGACTTGGCCATAGGAGCTCATCTTGCTGAGAAGGAAGATCTTGCGGTCACAAAAGGGACAAGGCTTATCTATTCGATTGTTGAGGTCGTAGACCCATGGAGGCCACAAACCAGGCATGTTGCCAACGACGAAGGACGAGGCCTGTGAGAATTGTTTCAATAGCCTGATCCAAGCGGACTGCAGACTCCCGTTCAGTACAACGTCCTTGTCGCTAGCTGCACATTCTTCGTAAATGCTAAAGGCGGCCGACTTGGAGAGCATGATTCCAGGACTTGGAGCACCGAACTTGAGATACATATACCAGATCTGGCTCCACTTCGCAGTGTCACCAGAATGGTTCGAACTGACTTGACAGAGGTGTACAGCCAACAGCGACCGGAAATCTTCGGAGGTGAGGTCTGGCGAACATAGGGATGGCTTAAAGATGACCTTCTTCACAAACTGCCCGAACGTAGCAAAGTCGGTTTTCAACACACGGTCCAGGTGCTCTGCGGTTGCATATAGTGTGATGTGACTAAACAGGACAGACTTGATGATGGCCATATTGGCGAAACATCGAGAGGTGAGCCGCAGGTTCTGGAGGGTGCGTCGTGCAGGCCTAGGGAAGAAGTCAGTCACCTAGCCCGAGCAGTTGTTCGGTCATGCTCACAGATTGAGGCTCGATTGGCTGCCATCTTCCATAGAGTTGCCTATCTTTACATCATTTGTCAATTGCCGTATAATCAGATAGAGGATTGAAGGATCCAGCTGGACTGTTGAAGAGGACATTTTTTGGCTGATGAACGTTGGGTAGAACTTTAGAGTGAGTAGAGGGAGGTCGAGAGTAAGGAGCAGAGGTAGATGCAGCCGTCCGTCCAGCTGCTTGTGCTTTGTCAAGTAAATGCTATCAGAATAGTATAGATGGCGAAAGAAGGTAACATAGGACGAGTAGATGCCTAAATTGATCTGCCACTGCTGTATGAGATCTCGTTCACATAAGGTCAGGCACAGGCAAAAGGGTTAGAGGGCGTTACACAAACAAAGGACTTAGCAGGCCTCCACACGAGTGAAGTTGAAATTCATGATTCCTCTAACACACCATCAACATCCGCCAAGACAAGACCGACTGGAATGCGAGCTTAACCTTCGAAACGCCAATCTACAATACTCGGGTTATATCAAAATCTGGCCTTCGTCGTCCCAGCACTCGCGGAAGACATCCTGTTACTCCTGGGAAACTGAGAGCCGCAGTCAGGAAGAGGCGGCAGCGCAGGGTCAGCGTCGCCTGCGCCGTCCACTCATTGTTTCTCACACGGCCATCTCGGCCTGTAGTTTCCGTAATTCTTCTTCCTCGTCCTCTTCCACTGTCGAGGGTTTGTTGCCAACTGTAGAACGGTCAGTTTCTCTTGAATGTTGAGCCTCCAAGGGCGACTTACTTGGACCAGCAGAAACGGTGGGGAGTCGGTTGATTTCGCCTGTAACCGGTGTCGGGCCAGTCTTCAACATTCTCTCGTCCATGGCCTCTTGCTCCAACCCTTCCAGCTCTTCCTCCAAATCAGCCTCGTCTATAGGTTCGCCAATGGGAGCGTTTGTGATTGCATTGGCGATTTCTTCGCCGAGCGCGTGCTGCTCGCGTAGCTCATCCATGGTCTGATCCACCCTGTCGATGGTCAAGTTTCCGTGGATCTGTTTCATGGCTTGTCCTGCATTCTTCATAGCATTAAGCGTCTCCTGGTTGATGTTGGCGGCCTCGATGGAATAAATTTGTTGTTCCACCTGAGCGATCTGGGCGGATGTCTGTTCAAGTGTGCGTTCATGGAGTTTTTTGCGCCGCAGAGCAGCTTTGGCAGCTAGAGTACAAGAAAGATATCGTGTTAGGATGGACACTATGGCTGAACAGGGATGCTGGATTCCTTACCGGCTTTATTTGAGGTTATATTCTTTCTTGCTATTGCATCTTGTTCTGCCATCTGATTCTCTAGGTGCTTCTCCCTCTTTTGCAGCATATCAAGTTGAGACCGCAGCTGCAGGATGGCCTTTTTGGGAGCATCTTTTCTGGCTTGGGCTGCTGCCCCGCCAAACCAACCCCACATATCGATTGATAAAGGATGGTGCTTCGTGAGGGTGTCGTAAGTAGGGACGTAGGAATGGTCTTGTTGCGAGGCTGGAGTGACCTGGTCACGATAGAGAGCGGTTCCGGCGTGGTAGAGTCACTTCCACCCGCTTCGATCGATATCGCGTGTACAGCCGTTAGCAAATCTGACGGTAATGAATTCAGTCCCCAGATGAGGAGCAAGCAGCAGGCGTCAGGGGGGGGGAACACTGCCAAAGGGAGCGGATATCCTATGTCACAGGAGATTACAAGATTAGGAGAGACGCTTGAGAAGAAGAGGCGTTGCTTTGGTGAGAGCCTGGTCCCGAGATCACAAAGTCCAGAGGCCATGACATCGCCAGTCTGCCGAACACCAAGTGGGTTCCGGGCAAGAGTGGCATTGACAGGGCAGGTATTCCGAACATCACGTGCCCACGGGATGTCGTGGTATCTACCCGGTAATACGCCCGCCATAAACTCTCTCTGACAGACGCGTTGAAGTCCTTCCGGTACTGGAAGCGCCGTCATTGTCTTCCTTCGTGCCGATCAAGAAGATAGGTATCAAGTCACAAGCATGTACAGATTGCCATGACCGAAAGCGTACCAAGCGCCCCCACCCCAAGCAAGCTGGTCTTCATTCACGAAATAGTATCACTTCCTGCTGCGAGCAAGGTGAGGTTACTAGGCTGGTATGCTTCCCGAAACTCCTGCAGCCATACTGTTGACATGTGCTTGACAGCGTTGTGCAATATGATGCCATCAAGGGCCAGCTCCTTCTCGAACATGCCTATCCAAGAACCTCTAGCCCGACTCCTCGAATATGGATTGACGTCAATCTTGTCCTTGAAAATGTGAAACCGGCTCTTCTGGACCCAGGGACTTGGATCAACGCAATCGGGTATACTCGGGCTTCGATGCCTCAGAATGGAAAAAAGAGCACGAAAAGGTCGCAGATTATACAAGGCACAGTATTCGTGCAGGCTGTCTTAATCTGGGATGCAATTGCCGTCAGAATCGAAGACTACGAAGATATTTTGGAAGAAGAAAGGCGTGTGCGGCGAAGACTTGAGTCCGAACGCGAATGACATCGGGAGTGTTTCCCATAAGCTCGAGATATATGGTGCCGACCCCCAATATGCCGCACCAGAGGACACAGGTTCCGCAAGTTTTCCATCTCGCTTGTTAGAGAGATGTCCGATAGTCAACGGCATTGAGGCACCCCTGTGCTTGAAGCGATCAAGCATTCGTGGTTGATCCCGGCATTGGCATTTCGAAATCGCCTAGCAGGAACAGCAAATTGTGTCTCATAAAAATTCTGCCTTGGACTGCAGTTTCCTGAATTTGGCCCAACATTTTCAGCTTTGTCTCAAGACGCCTGCATGGAAGCCATCCTCTTCTTGACCGTGTATGATGCAGGCATGCTTTGTCTCAACACATGATGCTTCCTCGATCGCACAGATTGTAAGATCATGATATCAAAGGACTTCGGGATCTGCTACTAAGCTCTGATCTGCTCAGCCGACTAGGTCCAAACTTGCCTAACATCCATCCTCATGCTTTGGGGTATGGAGCTCTACTCCCAACATTTCAATCCTTGTCTCGTGTTTGGTCATATGTCTCCGAAGGTGGTGTCTCTGTGACTTACAGGACGGGTTTTCCAATCATACTAGACCTGTCAGGACCGTCCCCTAGCAGGTGGGTCAGGTTCAGCCTCAGGTTCGAGTTGTTCCTATTGCTTGAAATAAATATCTCATGCACAAGTGCATCAATCTGGAAGTCTTTCATGAACGTGCCCGGTCGAAAACAGGCTGTCCCAGGGCTCTCTGGGTACTTGAACCGGTCTTATCACTTGTTTTCTTCCTACATTTTCTTCTGTTCCTCTACGCACCTTCATCGAGACTCAACCACGCAATCACCAAGGCTTTCTCGGGTCGTCAGTCAACGGTATGGACGGCAACAACAACGAACGGCGCAACCATTCGGACATTCAGTATCCCTCTTCGAGTTCGACTCAAGCGCCTACTATCGTCATAGGCAATGTGTCCCAAGCGAGGACATCGACTTTCGACTTGCCCATGGTCCCAAGCCCTCCGGCAACCCCGGACTCCTCCAGTGAGGCTCGACGAGCTAGCTCATCTTCAGCTAGGGGTCGTCTGACCACGTCAAGACATGACTCAAGTAGGAGGATTCTATTGTACCCTGAAGGTGACTTTCGTAACAGCTCAACACCGGAACTGCGAGATTTGAAGACTGATATGATGTGCAACTGGCTGTACCAGCAGCAACTGGAGCGGATGTGGTCAGCCAATGGCATTGAAGAAGGGGTCATGCTCAAGAAAGCGAAGAACGACTACAAGTGTGCCCCCGAAGACCTTCGTTCTCGCCCTGAAGGAGTCTATGATGCAGTAAGAATGCTCAATGTCAAGGTAGGGAAAGCTGATGGTCGCAAGGTGCCTACTTACTAACTCAACCTTGATAGTGTGCCATGACAGTCAACACAGGCGTTGTCAAACTATTCCTCCAAGATCAGACACTCACCCACATGCCGCTTGACTCTGGCCTCCGGCTGCAAATCCTCCCGAGCATTTCTCATCTTCCTGACTGCCAGAAACATCAGTTCGCAGCGTTCATTCGAACCTATAATATCCTCATCGTCTGGGATGACGATCCTAATCACATCCTCAAACGTGTCCAGTCAATAGAAGACCAACTTATCAACATGATTTGGAAGGAAGAATGCGAAGACGATGAATCCTCTGCTCATCTTCCCAGTGCCATGCCCAGCACACTCAACCTCAACAAGGCCAACGACGAAGGAGGATCGTCTCAAATTGCCGACATGGGACACAGCTTGCTACCTCGTCGGATTGTTCTCATCCAACCACTCCTAACTGCCATCACGTTGGTCTTGCTGATTGCTGCCATTGGAAGTGGTTGGCGCGAGATCGCCATTGAAATCAAGGTTGACCGTTCCTGGATGCGACTGGCCTTCATTGCCGTCGTCCCCCTTCAATGCTGGCTTGCACTATTCTTCATGCAGTCAGTTGCTGGTTGCTGTGCCCAGATCATAGGTCCCATAAGTCAAATGAATGCCAATACCAAGTTTTACTCTGGAATGCCGCCCCCGCGCCTCCCCACCGATGGAAGCTATACTTTGCCGCACGTCACTATTCAATGTCCAGTCTACAAAGAGGGTCTCTGGTCCGTGATCGACCCGACAATCAAATCCATCAAAGAGGCTATCTCGACTTATGAAATGCAAGGGGGAACTGCCAACATCTTCATCAACGATGATGGTCTGCAACTGATCCCCGCCGAGCAAGCCCAAGAACGACGTGACTATTACGACGAACACAACATCGGGTGGGTGTCGAGACCAAAGCACGATCCAAAGCCCGCAGATTCCAGCCAAAGACCTTTTATCCGAGCCGGTAAGTTCAAAAAGGCATCCAATATGAACTATGCCCTGAACGTCTCTGCTCGAGTCGAAGACAAACTGTTGACCATCGTACGTCCGGACGATGGCACCTGGACTACGGAGCAAGAACGAGAGGTGTACCATAAAGCTCTTGCATCTATCGTTACCGAAGACGAAGGTCGTACGCAAGCGTCAGGCAACATTCGCGTGGGGGACTACATCCTGCTGATAGACAGCGACACGCGTGTTCCTCGAGACTGTTTCCTGAGCGCAGTCTCAGAAATGGAAATATCCCAAGAGGTCGCGATCATCCAGTTTGCCAGCGGTGTAATGAACGTCACAGACTCGTGGTTCGAAAAGGGAATCACCTTCTTCACGAATCTTGTGTACTCCGCCATCCGCTACGCAGTATCCAATGGCGACGTTGCCCCTTTTGTCGGTCACAACGCCTTTTTACGCTGGTCAGCTGTGCAAGATGTTGCCTATGTCTACGAAGATATCAACGACGGTATTGTCAAGGAAAAGTACTGGAGCGAAGCCACGGTTTCTGAAGATTTTGATATGGCTCTTCGTCTGCAAACCTCTGGGTATATCCTCCGCCTTGCAGCCTATGCCGGCCAGGGCTTCAAAGAAGGTGTCTCTCTGACGGTCTACGACGAACTCGCCCGCTGGGAGAAATACGCCTATGGTTGTTCGGAGCTCATCTTCCATCCGTTTGCCCAATGGCTCTCCAAGGGCCCCTTTACTCCCTTGTTCCGCAACTTCATCAAGAGCTCGATGCCATTCCCGTCTAAGTTGACCATTATGGCCTATATCGGAACTTATTACGCCATCGGGAGCGCGTGGATATTGACGCTGTTCAATTACTGCATTGTTGGCTGGTTCAACGGCCACTTGGACCATTATTACATTGACAGCTTCAAAATCTATTTTGCCATCATCGTTGTCTTCACCGCCCTCGGAAATCTCGCGCTGGCAGTAATGCGCTACAGAGTCGAAGATCAGACTCTCCTCTCGGCGCTGTGGGAGAATTTCCGTTGGATTCCGCTTTTGACCATCTTTCTGGGAGGCATATCCCTTCATGTCTCGCAAGCAATCCTCTCGCATCTCTTCTCGATCGACATGTCCTGGGGCGCGACCAGCAAGGAAGCCACCGATACGAGCTTCTTCAAAGAGATCCCCACGATTCTTCGGAAATTTCGGTTCACATTCATCTTCTGTGCCGTTATGAGTTTGGGAATGATTGTGGTTGCTGGCGTCGGTCCGCTAGGGAAACTGGTGCCATATGACTGGCAGATTGCATGGTTCACGGCGGTTTGGCCTTTGGCCACGGTTGTCGGTGGGTTTTTCATTTTTATCTTTGCCGTTTTCCTCCTGCCTTTCTGCCCGAGTTCTCTCCTTTCAGCTGACCTTCCAGCACTTCTATCATCTACCCCTCCCATCGACTCGCACACTCTTTGCTGACATTCTGGGTGGACAGGGTCGCACGCATTACTGCCGCTTGTGTTGAATCCGGGATTGATGCAGTTCACCTTTTGAGCAGACGAGCTTTGGCGGTTGGATTTTGTTGGGGAAATGTACTCGGCAGGGTGTGCTATATCCATTAGTTGCGACTTTGCAACACCAGATACACACGACCATTCCTTTGTCGATCGTTCTATGTTGTTCCGTCATGTAATCAACTCTCACGGTGCGCCGTCCCACACATAATCCATTTGAAGGTCCCACCAAAGTCCAGCGAGGGCAAAAAAGCCACGCTTTCTGGCAGAAGCCGCGTGCTATGCCTCGATATTCCTGGCTCCAGCGGCCCTGTGCTCGCCAGAAGCTCCTCTGGAACCTCGATGAATAGTTCAAAGTGCCATGTCCTGGGAGGATGTACAAGATCCATGCGGCCACTGTAAGTGGAGACGATCGCCTGGTATCGCTCCATCATGTCGCGGGCGGCCAGTCTGGACAAGTAGAAGTCCTCGACCATGCTGAACCCGCTCATTGCGTCGCGATAGGTCTCGTCCATGATCTCGAGCTTTTCCACCCAGTCGAACCGCACGCTCAAGCCATAGGAGAGGTTCCGCAGCCATCGAGTCAGGCAGTCCGGACAGTGGTAGCGAACCACACGCTGGCGCAGCAGTGATTCCACCTCGCCTCTGACGGGATCACCGACAACGAGCAGGTGGAGACCATGGCTACGGATGATGGTCTCGAGGGCCAATATTTGCAGAGACATTTCTGAGACAGGCGAGCCCTTTCGGAAGGGGAGATGGTCCGGCTCTAGCAAAGGCGGCTGGCAGAGGTTGATCAGCATCGTACTCGACACCAACAGATTGTAGATGTTCAGTCGGACCTCGGCGGGGAGCGACATGAAGCCCCTCGCCTTCCTGCGAGGAGTGAGGCTGGCCATTGTCGTTGAAGGTTACTGGTGGTCGCTTCCCTTGACAAGAACTTTCCGCGGCGCTTTCCGGTCTGATTTCCGCTCGATTCAAGCACCGGATGAGTCTTTGGCAGGGGACGAAGGGAGCAATGTAATGCGGTCAAATGAGAGTTGAAATAAGCGTAATTCAAGAGGACCTAGACATGGACGGAACCAGATGTTTGACGTCTTGGCGGCCGCGTCTGAGTTCATGAGATAGTTTGGACTCACTAGTGGCGGAGGGGGGGAATGTCACTTCA